TTCAGTTCAGCCAGTTTAGCTCCAAGGAGATATTATCCTTAATACTGTTTTAAATGCAAGATCATGTTGAAATTTCAAAAAAATCTTAGATTCAGTCTAAATTTTTAAGTTGATTTTCTGCAGGTCTTTAGAAAAACAACTTAATATTAAAACTGAATTGAAGATTTTTTTAAAATCTTAAAATTTAAGACCATATAATAATCCTTGCATTTAATACAGTGCCTGAGGAAATTCCAAAATACTTCACAGGATATATTATAAAGTGTAGTGAGTATAAGCAAACACTGCAGTCTATTTGTACACAGCAATATCCCACAAACAGCCATCCAGTGAATGGCTAATATTTGGGGGATTGTTGACCAGGACACTGGCAGAAACTTCTTCCACTGTGTCTTATGAGAATTGAGAACCTCATGATGTACCAAATAGTTTCCTGATTCACATGAATTCTGATAACATTTACCAACAGAAAGAAGCTTACTTCACTATAACCTCTTCTATACGTTTTGTTTGTTTCTCTCGGTTACTGCTAATAAGATGGTACTCAAAAGGTAAAGCGGTACTATCCATACACCGAAAAAGAGAAGGCAGATGGGAAAGTAGCATTATGCCTGGCATTCTAATCAGACAGTCTACTAACAGCAGAGACAGCTTCAAAGAGATTTGTCTTTAATTGCAATGTGAGTGAAGGCGGACTACAATTTAGAAGCATTAAAAGACCAACCTGATTTCTTTCCAAGATGGTACAGAGAGGAAACAGTAAGTTCTGATGCATAGATTTCTGCCTGAACTCTTAAAATCCAGATGCAGATAATCTGCAAATAGCCGATTGTTGATTTTCCTTTGAGGCTCAGGCTTGTTAGGTATAATGGCTTATTTTCCCCATTCATACAACTTCTCTCCCTACACAACTTCCACATGAAATATTCTTCAGGAAGGGTTTATCGCCTCTGCATTGCAAGAATATTATTTCAATGACAAAGCTGGCTGAATGAGATGACGAAGTTGTTTACTCATTGTAGTTAAAGTTTTGGGAAACATCTGAAATTTACACGAGTCTCTTATAAAATCCTTCTGAGCATTATTGAAGGAATCAAATTCCATACCAAACGGATCATTTAGCCTGGATCATTTTACCAGTCTCAATGAAGGTAACCAAAGTAATTCATACACCCACATATGGTTGCATTTTACATCCTCCATTTCAGATCACATGTAAAACCAGTCTGCAATTTTTCTCAGAGTACTAGTGTTGAAAAACCCGCTCCATTAGTACTGCAGGTGTTTTGCAAAACAGGAAAGAGTACAGCAATCATACAGCCTTTAGTTTGCAAATGTGTACTTGTTTTTAAATTATATTCGGCTGATCATACTACAGATCTATACAAAACCAACACAGTGGTCAAAATATGATTGCTACCTCCTGCTTAGACTGTAGTGTTTACATCGACATTAGGATAAGTATTGCCTACATGAGGTAACAACATAATTAATTTATTTAATAATCCTTGTATTTGCACTTGATTTAGCGCCTTTTACTTTTGGAGGGCATCACATAGCAATACACAGGATTTACTGTAAAGCGTAGTATTTGTAGGCGAATATGGCAGCCATTTTTGCACCCAGCAATGTCCCACAAACAGCTATGAAGTGAATGACCAGTGTTTATCTGAGGGATTGTTGGACAGGATATCCGAGAAATATCCTTCTCTTTTGAAATTGTGCCATGGAATCTTTAACATTCACCTCAATAGGCAGATGAGACCTTGATTTAATATGCCATTAGAAGCATGGCATCTCTCACAAAACAACTCATTCTCAGCACTGTATTGGAGTGTCAGCTTGAGTTCCAAGACCCAACATGGGGCTTCAACTCACATCCTTCTGACTTGGAGGTGAGGTTGCGACCAAGTGAGCCAGGCTGACACAGCTGTGGGCTTCATAACGTCTGAAGGCAGCAGTGACTGGTTTACCTTATCCAGCTTTCAAAGTGAATTCACTATTTATGTTCAGAAAGATTTTCAAAGCAAACCTAACTGGAATTTGGTGAATGACTTAGCTGTTTTGTATGAAGGTACCTATTAATACATAGTGGTCATCGTGGGCATTGTTTGCTCCAGGATTTGTACATCAGGCTGGAAATGAACGCTCCACATTTAAAAAAGTATATATTTTCTTCACTGGAAAATTGGCTTCCTAACAAAATAACCTATGTGCTCCTGAAAAACAACAATTAATGTGTGGAATTCTCACCCATTTACTATGGTTGAAGGGTTACTGTTGAAGGTGCTTTCTGTGTCCTACAAGTCAGGTGCTTCAAATAGGGACAAGCCTAGAATCTTTCATGCTTTTGCATCGATTAACAAATGAACATGGAATTTTCTGTTATACTGTTTCTTTGAATACTGTGCACGCACAAGTAGTCTTCAATAATGTATTGTAAAAAAAAAGGAAGCATCATTGCAGCTGTGTAGAGCACTACAACATCAACAAAATTACATTTGTATAGCACCTTTCCCTAGGATATCTGATTAATCAGATATATAATGACCATTTCTGGGCACTAATCTTAGGAATGATACACGAGTATTGCAGGAAGGCCAGAATAATAACTAAGATGAAAAGACGCAGCTATGTCTGGAGGCTGAGTAAATTAAAACTCCAGAGTTCTCCAGAGCTGAAGATGTTAAAGAAGTGATTGAGGTGCTGAAAATAATTGACACCATTTAGCTATCAACAAGAAACATTCTACTCAAACTCTAAACTGTTCCACCTTTCTTGCAGTTACTAAATGCAGAATAATTACCCAAAATCTTATAACTGGAGCCAAACCAGTCCAAAAAAAATCAGAAAGCATTAGACAGAAGTTTGCAATATCATGGAATACACAGCCTCATCCACTGCAGAATCAACTCAGATATTTAATAGGAAGATAGTTAGATATTTTGAAAGTAGCAATATCAAATATAGAGCCAAAACGCACAACATTTCTCAAGGTATTCCTTGGGTTAATTAGTACAAGAAGACTGAGGATGAAGAAGGTCTCAGAGGGAAAGAGAACTTGGTTGATTATTATATCACTGAGAGGTTTGGTTTCAAATCAATCTACTAGTAATAGATACAGGAGAATTGGCTTATATTACCTTCTCCCCCATCCCAGTCCACAACCCATGAAATAGCACTGCCAGACTTATAGGAATGGTAGCTTGTGGACCATGTTGCAATGAGGTTTCCATGTACATTGCAATGTTGGCTGATATACTCATTCCCATTCTAAAATGTAACCAAAAAAACAGCAATTTCTGAAACTTTAATTTACCGTAGAGATAGATTTTCCTCACCAAAGGTCCCCTTAAATGAATTGGGGGCTGCATTATTGGATTCCAGACCACTTGTGGAAAAGTCAGTAACACAGTTGACAAAGTACTGTAAAGCAATCTTTTGTAAAGTCGAAGGTCAAATGTGGCTGTGATATTAAAAATGTTCCCTTCAGATGAACAGCTAACAGGGTCTCTATTGTTGGTATATTGTGCACTTGTGGAAAGTCTATTATACATTTGATAAAGTTCTGCACTTAAAAGAAATCTATTGTAAAGCTAAAGATCAAATGTGCCTGTGATATTTTAACTGTTTAGTGAGTGTGGGAGGCAGAAATTTGCTAATATCATGGTCAGCCTGTACTCTTGCATATTTAATTAATGAATCAGTTTCTAACATGGTACAATACTGATCATTTAAGTATTTACCATCGCATTACCAGAAGCTTCATTCTATACAGCAATATAATTCTTTACCATTGCATTACCGGAAGCCTCAAACTATGCAGCGATATAATGTGATCTCACACCTGTAAGCTATTCGTATCATCAAGTCTGCTGGATCCTTGATGATGATGGCTCTTTTGCAATATTTCTTGAGGTGTTTCTTGTGTTAAATAGCATAAGGAATGAATATCGATTAAATTTCCCAGAAGCCGAAAAAGTAACTACATTTATTTTTGTTAATCTCATGCTAATTGCCTACAATAGATCCAGTCCTAGAGCAAACATAATATTTAATTTCCAACAGTAGGGAGAATTCTTGTTTGCCATTGCACTGCCTTGAGGATGCAGGCCATCCCCTATGTCGTGATGACCAGAACTGTTAGAATATCAGTATTCTAGGTGCAGTCTGACCAGTGGGCAGCACGGAAACCTGATTGGAGGGGTTCAAGGAGGGAATGGCAGGAGAGAAAGGAGCGAAGCTGGGACAGGATGACTCATTTCAGGGCCTTGGAGAGGAATGGGAGGTTGGATATGACATGAGCTGGAGAGTAGGGATGGATCCAGGGAAGGTTTTTTGAGGATGGGGGTGATGACAGCTGTTTTGGGGGAGGTGGGGGGGGGCGTGGGTGGGAACAGTGCCAGTGGATAAATGAGAGGTTGATGGTCGGTTAAAAGAGGGGCCAAGAAGTGGAGCTGAGAGGTAAGGAGAGGTGTGGGGATGGGGTCAAGGGGGCAGGTGGTGAGCTTCATTTTTGAGATGGAGGTAAGGGAAGAGAGGGAACCAGGGTCAAAGGTGTGTAGAAGGGATGGGTGGGGGCCAGGGCGTGAGGGGTGGTGGCGAGAGGATAGCGGTGGATAGGGGAGAGGTAGCCGAACGAATCCCCTCAATTTTGGACTCAAGGAAGTCCAACATCTCCTCGCAGTTGGAATTGAAGGAGGCAGTGTGCCTCACTCAAGAGGAATATACAAGACAAACTGACTAGAATGTGTTGATAGTACAGCTAGCTACCTGAAATCTTCATTGAGTCAATTCAGAACCAAAATCATGGCAACAGTGGAATCAGCTTCAAAACATACATCATAAAATGTTTTTCCTCAAAAAATTGCATGAAACTTAATGATAAGCCTTAAATTGGGTCCATTGAAGTTTTTAAACTCTGAGCAAGACAAGACAAAAGTCTTTATCAAATACTGTACAGTGTATGAAAATGTATCTTATGAAATTTTGGTTCTTACCGATCAAAATCATCTTTCTTCATGTCGTAGTTCTTCAGAACCCGTAGAATCTGAACCTCTTGACTGAGAAAACAAGGCGGTAGCAGGCCATGGATTTCCAGCTGAAGCCTCTCTTCCAAAGTAAAGGCCATGCCCTGAGAAGAAAAAAAAAGATTGATTGTCCAGTGTTCACTACAACAAGCAGGTAGCAAACTCACAATGTAAGTTTGTTCTGTTCAACTGTTAAGAGTAATAACAATAATCCTTACAATTTGCATAGCACCTTTCATGTCTCAAAGCACTTCATAGGATAAACTGTAAAGTGGAGCAACTGTTTTTCTGGTAAACCCAGTAGCCAATTTGCACACAGCTATTCCCCACAAACAGAATGACCAATTTTAACTGAGGGATTGTTGGCCAGAACACTGGGAGAAACTCCCTTGTGATCTTCAATGTCCACCTGAATGGGACTTTGGTATAACGTCTTATACAAAGGATGGAACCTTCGACAAAACAGTACACTTTCAGCACTGATTGGACTGTCAAGATACTTTGATCCAAAACTCCGCTGCCCACATACTCACCCGCACTAAACTCTGTACCCCTATCACACCAGTTCCAGCCAGGGTCCACTGGTTCCCTATTGCCGAACGGATCAATTTCAAGATCCTTGCATTTGTTTTCTAATCCCTTCATGCCCTGGCATCTCCCTACTTCTCTGACCTGCTTACCTCCCAACCCACAACCCTCTGCCTCCGCTCGACTGGCTCCGGCCTTCTGCATGTCCCTCATGCCCTCCATGATTGGCGGCCACGCTTTCAGCCACTACTCCCCAAAACTCTGGAACACTCTTCCTCTACCCGTCTGCCTTGCCCCTTCCTTAGGTCGCACTTGAAGACCTTCCTCTTCGACCGTACCAACGGTCATCTTGCCATCCTCCCCGGCTTGGCGTCATGCTCTGCCATTGTCAAGCACCCGGAGACGTTACCCTGATTAAGAAGCACTGTATAAATGCAAGTTGTTGTCAGCATATACTCTGAGTTCCAGGTCCTGATGTTGGCTTGGTCCCACAACCTTCTGGATCAGAGCCAAGTGTGTTACCAACTGAGCCAGGTTGACATAAAGCCCTGGTATTGGAGGGGTTGAAGGGAGTGTAAAGTAGAAAGCAGTTCACTCTAGAATAAAGGGGGGGAAAAAACATCTCCTAATGATGCACATCTTCAAGATCCAGCATTTTATATTAACAATCCTGGGTGTGTGAGGTGAGAAGGTAGGTGGTGTCTCATTGGAGCTGAACTGACTCCACGTTGACCTGTTTGGAAACAAAATGTTGGAATCGAGCCAGCCCTGTGGCAGCCTAAGTTGTCTGGTTCTTGAGTCCATAATACTCTTGGGCACTGCTGATGACAGCAAAGCCAGCCTGGCTCAACGGCAGGACTTGGAAAGGCAGACCAGTCACTGGAGGCATGGAATCATCCCACTCAGCTTCTGCTAACCCTGCAAACCAAAGTCCTAAAGGATAGGGTGGTCCCAGCTGGACAAGCAGCAGGAAAGTTTGCCATACAACGATACCAATGGCAAGCTATGTGGTTTTAGCTGCTTAGACTCCAGCAGTACCCCAACGCACACTCTGAGGTACTCAAGCCTTGGCACTTGCCAACCTGCGCCTAATACTTTCTGGAATTAGGTAAGCAGGATGCATGCCTCCAGGAAGAGTGTGCGCATACCATTCCAACAATATATCTCTGGGATTTCCATGTGTAGGGTCGGATGCATGGAATTCTCAGTTTGGTTTGGATACTCTTAAGCATGGTGATGCATTTCCGCATGTATCAAACACCTGGTTGACTTGAAAAAAAGCAGCCTCTACATGGATTTGCAACGAAAATTCAATGGCTATGGTAAGCTGGCATATTGGTTGATTTTTCTACTTTAAAGTTACTGATGTGTAGCATACACGATCTTAGTAACCTCAAAAAGTGACTATTGCATGGGAATCTATAAGCTTGCCAGTGCCTTAGGATATGGTGCCAAGGCACTGGCAAGCTTATAGATTCCCATGCAATAGCTGCTTCACAGGTTATTTAATGCATGGTGCACCTCCCAACACGAAAGGCGCTATACAAAATTTAATTTTGTTGTTGGTTGAGCAATGCAAGGAAAATCTGGAAGCCTTTGCATAATTTACAGAGTAATTAAATGGAGGGGAGCAGGTTAAGGGGTGACCAAACAGAATGCTTTGAGATTATGAAAAGTTCTGATAAATTGAAGAGTAAGATTATTTCCATATTTTGAGAGTCAATTAGAGACCAAATTAAAATGATCACAAATAGAATTAAAAGGAAAATGTATGGAAATTGTTGGTATGTGGAATAATCTGCTACAAGCTTTAGTTGAAGCAGAATTTATTTGAAAACAGTTAGATACTGAGAATTATACAGGTGCTCAAGGGGAGAAATATCATAGGATATGGGGAGCGAGGAGGAATGTTGTATTACATTAGGTGGCTAATGTGGAGGAAAACAGATTTTCATGGCCTGTTCCTGTGCTTTAAAAATCTTGTGATCTAGGAAAGTTTCTAGCATTCTAGTTGAGTCAATTCCAAATCGATTGAAGTTTTTTTTAAAAGATTGAGGTCCAGAAAGCAGTGATTGGCTTTCTTCCCTCAGAGCTCAAAGTTAAATTGCAATGTATCAAATATTGCCCAAACCACCAAAATACTGAAACACTAAAGCAATGGAAAAGTTTGGTAATCCAGGAAGTTGTTTGAGAAGTTTCCACTGTCAGATTTCCATACTCCCTCAATCATCAACTTTGAAAATAAAATGCATTGCGTCATTTTGCCTTTCAACAAAAAAAATATCATCCAGTCGAATAAATCAAAGTTTTATTTGGTTGAATTTCAGCCAAACCATAGATGCTTCACAGGTTATTTACTTATGGTCGCAACGTGGTTTGAATTAAATATCTGGTCTCCATACTTTCTTTTACTTGAATTGTCATATTTTTACTGTGTACTTGGACACTGGTCAATGTACACAACACAAGACCTAAATGGATATGGACCAATAAAATTGTCATTCACTTATAGCCGTTTCTGGGACATTGCCTTGGGGCAAATTGTCAGCTGCCTTCGCCTTTAAAAAATGTACAGTATATTCTGTGAAGTGCCTCGAGACATCCTCCTGATATGAAAGGTGCTGTGACTACAGCAAATGTAAAGTATATTATTGTATTTCATGCCACTTTATACTTCTGGAAATGATCAGTCGGTCACCACCAGTAGCAGAGGCTATTTGGGACTTTTTTCAAAACACAGGATATACAATGATGTCTTCTCCAGATGCCATGTTGTGGGTTATAATGAAGCAGAACTAGTAAAGAGCAGACAACCAAAGCATATTCATTCACCATAACAGTAACCCATACATTTGATTTTCATATTTTAATAAATATTAAAAATCTGTTTTTTAATGCACCTTCTGGCTTTACACCACCTAATTGACGTGAATAGTACTGGGCAATGCTCATTTCAAACAACTCCATTAGCACTGTATATGACATTCCTTTCCATCTTGCATGCCTGTTGAGCTATGTAAATTGCAAAATAAAACAAAGGGAAAGTATTTAAATTTCCTAGTGTAAACACTTAATTAGACATATTTTCTCCTGCATGACTTTTTAAATCAAATGATTAATTACATAAATATGAAAATAATCATGCTCAAAGGATTATGAAACTTGTCACAAACACTGAATTCTTACGACCTACAATGAAATACACTAAAATTCCTGCAGTATTTTGTGCTGAGGGGATATGGAGTGGATTACACAGTTGAGGCAGCAGATCAAAAGTAGCAGCGTATTTAATCATAATAATAATCCTTGCATTTGATATAGCGCTTTTCACATCGGGAGGACGTCCCAAAGCGCTTCACAGAACACACTGTAGAGTGAATTGACTGTATATTTGTGGACGAACGCGGCAGCCAATTGCGCACAGCAATGTCCCACAAAGAGTCGTAGATTGAAAATGACCAATTTATTATTGTTTTGTTTTGGAGGGATTATTATTAGGCGTGTGGAGTAAGGAAACTTGCCCAAGGTTTCGCCCTGCCTGGAATTGAACTCCGGTCTCTCGCTTGCAAAGCGAGTGCTCTAACCACTGAGTTACAGGACTCCACGTTAACACTAACACTAACATGCAACTTACTAAGATAGCACCACTTGGGTGAACAGCTAGAGAGCTGCAGCCGAGACTCATTTTTTCACATGGAAGAAGTGTTCAGACTTTAGTTGGAAAACAGCCCTACTGGAAAACACATTACAGCTCACAACCAAGAAAAACTGTGATTGGATTGTAAAAAAAAGTCATACTGGGAAAATATGTCTCCCACTGTGCACGTTTAAGTGTTTACATGCCATACGGATTGCATCCAAGGAAATTTTATTTCTTTCCCTTTAATTTTTTTTATTCAGCAATTTACATAGTTCAACAGGCAAGCACAATGGAAAGGAATGTCATATACAAATACTAATGCAGCCATTTGAAATAACTATTGCCCAAAACTACACAGATCAATTAGATGGCATAAAGCCAGAAGGTGCCCTATGCATTATAGAACCAGACTGATGTTCACCCTGCAGTACAATACGTGCACTTTTGCATCAAATGAGAATGTACAACAGCAAGTTTTGGGAAATGAGAATGTACAGTAGATGAATTAAATATGGCTTTATGGTACTACAAGCCAAAGCCCTTATAGGTAGGGTGGTCCAAGTTGGACAAGCAGTGTGGAGCTTGCCAGACAGAGCTTTCATGGAAATCCACATGGTTCTATCTGGTAAGACTCCAGTAGCACCTCAACATACACTCCATAAGCACTGGCTTTAGGAATTTGGTAATGTAACTCTGGAATTAGGTAAGCAGGGTATACTCTTCCAGGGTGAGAGTGCGCATTTCATTCCAGACCCTGGGAAATTTCTACATAAATATGTGGAACTCTACATGGTTTGGATTCTCTGGTGCATGTGTAAACCCATCACCATGTTTAAAACACCCTGCTGACCAGAAAAAAGACACCTTTGCTCTCATCTTTTTCACAAATTCTGCATTGATTGAACCATCCCAAGGTTTCCAGCTTTGTCCTGATCA